ATTAATATTTGTATTCAGTCTGCAATCTAAAGTATGTATACTTTTAAAAAACAGGTGAGTAACATCTGATTGTAGTTTCTTCCCAGTTAATCTTCCGAATTAAAAGATAGTAGAAACAGTAAGAAAAGGGCAGAAAGCAGGCCAGTTGAGGTGGCTCATGCCTGTTAATCCCAGCACTTTGGGAGGCCAACACAGGTGGATCACCTGAGGTCAGGAGTTCAAGACAAGCCTGACTAACATAATAAAACCCCGTCTCTACTAAAAATTCAAAAATTAGCCAGGTGTGGTGGCAGGAGCCTGTAATCCCAGCTACTTGGGAGGCTGACGCAGGAGAATCACTGGAAACCTGGGAGGCAGAGGTTACAGTGAGCCGAGATCGCACCACTGCACTCCAGCCTGGGCGGCAGTCTGCATCTCAGAAAAAAATAACAGAAAAGTAAAAGAAAAGAGCAGAAAGCCACCTTGATCACTCTGTTGAAATGATTCAGTGCAGCTTTCATAAGAAAGCATCTTATTAGGTCATGGTCAACATCCCTCCCTGAACTTGGACATTCTACTGTTGCCAGGAGCCCTAGATTGGCCTATGATCAACTAAGGCTCTATTTAGCTGTTTTGCAGTTTGGACCTAGTGTTACTGTAAATGGAGTCCAGTGAATTTCTAGCCATTATCAGCACACTGGATAATTTCTGGGGGACCTTTATAAAGAAGCCACCAGGATTTTAGGTGGTTTTTAAACTGTCATTCAGGCAGCTGATCATTGAATTAACATAGCTCATGACTTTTCAAAAATTTTCTGCTATACATTTACTGTTCATAATTATTAATATGACTTATTTAGGCATTGCTTTACAGTTCATAAACATTTTTCATGTGTCTTATTTTCTTAGTTAACAAGACAATATATTGTGGACCTTGTTCTTTGGATCTTACTGGGCATGAAATTGATTTGGTTTATTTGTTATAAAAATTGAAAGTTCCATGCCGGGCGTGGTGGCTCAAGCCTGTAATCCCAGCACTTTGGGAGGCCGAGGCGGGTGGATCACGAGGTCAAGAGATCGAGACCATCCTGGTCAACATGGTGAAACCCCGTCTCTACTAAA